TAGATGGATTTGTGAAGTCTTTATGGAATCTGTCTTTTAAATCACATGTGTAGAGATAATAATCAAGACAGCACAGTAATATATTTCAAGTGTGTCAATTTCAGAGGTCACACTGGAAAACCTCTAGTTGGCTAATCTGCTAAACCATGAACCAAAATGTCCTAACCTTGAGTACAAGATTACCAGATGTACACTCAAAATAAACTGCATTGTGTTATTCAAAGATACAGGATGTTGCTTACTTCCATAAAAACTGAAAAATAACAAAATGACATAGAATGTGATACCACTGTGCATTACCAAGTTTTGGAAAAAATCTTTTTAAAAATCATATTTTACATATATATACAGCTATCTATCTGTGTATGTATGCATTCTGAAGAAATCTGCCACAAACATAATTAAAAAGCAAGGTAAATATGCAACACACATGATAACTTTTCCTATATGTATTGCTTTAAAGGCCCATTTACTCCATTGACTTCAAAGGATTTAAATATATATTGAACACAATTCTGCAGCTAAATCATATTTGCCATTGTAAAGCTGTTCTGATTTAATTAAGTATTTTTCAGTACCAGCACCTGGTTAGCCTGCTCCTTGAAATTTTATTCATTTTACTTCATTCTTTTATCTATATTCCAGATTTATAAGGGGAAAGTGGTTTTTAAGTGTGTGTGTGTTTGTTTGTTTGTTGCTATACTACCCTGTGGCCAAAGCTCTCTGGACAGTTTACAACATTCCATAAACAAGACAGTGAAATACAATCAGTACTAGGCCATCTTAACCTAGTACTGAAAATATTACAAGTTTGGTGCCAGGCAGGCTGCAATAAGGAGGTTGTTCCATAGATGAGGGGCCACCACAAAGAAAACCCTCTCCATTTTTGTCACCCACTGAGACTCCTTAGTTAAATAGTTAAAAATGTATTTTTACAATTATGCTGTACTAATTTATTGTTGACCCAGCTACAGTATATCACAGAAGTGAGTACACCCCCTCACATTTTGTAAATATTTTATTATATCTTTTCATGTGACGACCCTGGAGAAATAACATTTTGCTACAACGTAAAGTAGTGAGTATACAGCTTGTATAACAGTGTAAATTTGCTGTCCCCTCAAAATAACTCAACACACAGCCATTAATGTCTAAACCGCTGGCAACAAAAGTGAGTGCACCCCTAAGTTAAACTGTCCAAATTGGGCATTATTAGCCGTTTTCCCTCCCCGGTGTCATGTGACTCATTCGTGTTACAAGGTCTCAGGTGTGAATGGGGAGCAGGTGTGTTAAATTTGGTGTTATCGCTCTCTCTCATACTGGTCACTGGAAGTTCAACATGGCACCTCATGGCAAAGAACTCTCTGAGGATCTGAAAAAAAGCATTGTTGCTCTACATAAACATGGCCTAGGCTGTAAAAAGATTGCCAAGACCCTGAAACTGAGCTGCAACACGGTGGCCAAGACCATACAGCAGTTTAACAGGACAGGTTCCACTCAGAACAGGCCTCGCCATGGTCGACCAAAGAAGTTGAATGCACGTGCTCAGCGTCATATCCAGAGGTTGGCTTTGGGAAACAGATGTATGAGTGCTGCCAGCATTGCTGCAGAGGTTGAAGGGGTGGTGGGTCAGCCTGTCAGTGCTGACCATATGCCGCACACTGCATCAAATTGGTCTGCAGGGCTGTCGTCCCAGAAGGAAGCCTCTTCTAAAGATGATGCACAAGAAAGCCACAAACAGTTTGCTGAAGACAAGTAGACTAAGGACATGGATTAGTGGAACCATGTCCTGTGGTCTGATGAGACCAAGATACACTTATTTGGTTCAGATGGTGTCAAGCGAGTGTGGCGACAACAGGTGAGGAGTACAAAGACAAGTGTGTCTCGCCTACAGTCAAGCATGGTGGTGGGAATGTCATGGTCTGGGGCTGCATGAGTGCTGCCGGCACTGGGGAGCTTCAGTTCATTGAGGGAACCATGAATGCCAACATGTACTGTGACATACTGAAGCAGAGCATGATCCCCTCCCTTCGGAGACTGGGCCGCAGGGCAGTATTCCAACATGATAACGACCCCATACACACCTCCAAGACGACCACTGCCTTGTTAAAGAAGCTGAGGGTAAAGGTGATGGACTGGCCAAGCATGTCTCCAGACCGAAACCCTATTGAGCATCTGTGGGGCATCCTGAAACGGAATGTGGAGGAGCGCAAGTTCTCTAACATCCACCAGCTCCATGATGTCGTCATGGAGGAGTGGAAGAGGACTCCAGTGGCAACCTGAGAAGCTCTGGTGAACTCCATGCCCAAGAGGGTTAAGGCAGTGCTGGAAAATAATGGTGGCCACACAAAATATTGACACTTTGGGCCCAATTTGGACAGTTTCACTTAGGGGTGTACTCACTTTTGTAGCCAGTGGTTTAGACATTAATGGCTGTGTGTTGAGTTATTTTGAGGGGACAGCAAATTTACACTGTTATACAAGCTGTATACTCACTACTTTACCTTGTAGCAAAGTGTCATTTCTCCAGGGTCGTCACATGAAAAGATATAATAAAATATTTACAAAATGTGAGGGGGTGTACTCACTTCTGTGATATACTGTATTAGCAAAGACTTTTTCAACATAATATCTGGTAATTAACCTAGTGTTATGTTTGCTTTTTATATTAGGTGAGACAGGGTGATGAGGCATGGAGACAAAAAGATTTGAGGACTGCCTTACAAGTTATTAAATTAGTGGGTACACTGTTTTGTGTGCACTGAGTGTATTGATAGTAAACCCTAGGAGGAGAGCAATAAAAACATGTCCTTCCTCCTGAGTATGGGTGAAAACATAATTGTCCCACTATAGTTCATATACATACAAGCATTTTAGGACTGTGTTTCATCATAAATATTATTGGGTGCACAGGGAGGATGAAACACCTCAACTATCTCACATCCATGTGCATATTTTTCTTTCTCTCCACAGAAATGAAATTGCTAGCAAATTTGCCTACACAGTAGCATCAACCATGGCTTTTCAGACACCCATGAGCATGTCCTCCACTACCCCTCCAAAAAGAAAAAGAGCACAAGAAAGGGAAGAAGAAGAAGCAGCAGCAACATTTAACATAGGGGAGGGCCAACAAGAAGTACCAGTACTTAAAAGAGCATTAGCCTCATCTAGGAAGAAGGATCAGTGGCAGAAGATAGATAGTAACAGCTCCATGTTTTCAAGGGCTTGGGGCAAGATATCCAGATGCAATGCACTCTCTCGCTCAGTGAGTCCATTGTCTTCTCAGTTTCTTGTTCTAGAGGAGAGAGCCAGTGGGCAAGCAAGCATTGGCATCTGCTTCTCCTCCTTCTCACTGTCACTGCTGTCTGGGTCAGAGCAAGAGGCAGGCGAACAAGCAGGTTGCCATGGAGAAGTGAATATGCAAGTCCAGGAAGATCTTGTCACTGGGCCCCTGCTGCAGTGGGGGCACCCAACAGATGCCCACTCGTACCTCTCCTTGAAGGTAGGACTCCTGAGCCTTGACCACCCAACTGTGCAGAAGAGTGGATTTTAGAAGGTGTAGTTGCGGGAAGGGGGATGGCTCCTTTACCTGACCTTCTTTGCTTCAAATCTCCCCCACCAAAAAAAGCTGTTTTCTATTTAAAAAACAAAACTAAAATCAGAGTTGGGCATTTGCAGATATAACTTGTAGTTGGACCCTATACCTGCAACTTGGTGTGTACCTATGAAGGAGATGGTCCAACTCAGCTGATTGGGAATTTATTTCCAAGAGAATATGGATTGGATCTAGTTGAACAGCAGCAACTCTTTCCGTACCTTAAGTCAAACTAGATATGACATAGACACAAATTGATCTTTTTAAACCATAGTGGCTGTTTTTTACGGAAAAAGGCAAAGATACCAAACTGGATTCCTTATCTGCCTTGTGTTGTCAGGTTGCTGCACATGCAAAAACTAAAATCTGAGTAAAACTAACTTTCTTGATTCCAATATGAATGTTTACCAGTGTAGAGAGTTCATGAGTTGACACTTTTGCATTTTGAGAACAAACTCCAGCTTCTTATGTTTCAAGGAGGACCATATAAAAGAGAGCGTCCTATGGTTCTTAAAAGAAAAAAAAATTGGCATTTTTTTTTTTAATTTTCAAAAGCTTCAAGGTTTTGTGCAGATTTTCAGCCTTTTGGTGGTTCCTTCCAGTGATGGAGCAGAGGTAATTTTGTGTGACTGAAGTGGATCCAAAATACTTTTGGCACATTGCTGAAGGCAAGACTTTATCACAACAGCTCAGTGCTGAATAACAAATCCCACCAAGACTTAAAATGGAAAGGAAATTTGTTTTCAAGCTTCTAAAGAGATTAAGATAAATAGCATGAAAATATTTAAAGCCAAACAAAATATGCACTGAAAGGGCTTTTGCAGTATAAAAGATTAACTGCATAGCATGAGAAAATATTTAAATACTACCAAACAGCATCATCTGTGGAAGAGTGCAGTTGTAATGGCTCAAATTTAGCATGATGGCCTGTGTTCAGCAGTTGTATTTCACCACAAAAGCAAAAACAAATCTGGAAGTCCATCAGTACCATGCATTATCTTCTTTTTAAATACTGAAAAATCCACCAATGATTTTCACTTGGTTCCCACTTATTCATCATAAAAGAGCGAGCCAAGTATGTCATTGCCTGTTAGTTCCTGGTATTAGTCAAGGTGACACAGGAAATGCTAACATAGAAGACCTTGTTAGAATGTTATTAATGCCAAAGTCAATAATACTATGGTTTAACTTTATGACCAATTCATCACGTAATAGAATTTGCACCAGAGGCACTATACGATACAAGTAAATTCAAAATTCCCAATGCATACTTCCCATGACAGCCTTTAAATGTTACTATAAATCAATAAGCTGCTGGGTTAAAATGGAACTAACAGGTTTTTAGCCAATAGTTTAATATTTTAAGTATAAATGCAAAGGCTACATAAGGTGAAACCATTCTTACCTCCATGGGAAAAGCTTTAAAATTCACAGTGTGTTCAGAGCCACGCTGATTTTCTCTGCCCCAGTGGAACCGAACATCATGCAGTTCAAATTCATGCCCTCGAGGTAATGGCCCTCCAACTAACACTGTAAAAGAACACAACACAAATTATAGCAGGTGACATTCATAGCCAGCAATTTTCTGAAGTCTTTTTCAACAAACAGTAGGAAAATTGTTGCTCTTAGTATGAAGGTGACACACTAAGGTATGTGTGTGTGGCGGGGGGGGGGGAGTTAATAAGCTTGGTTCTTTTGCTCAGTGGCAGCAAACTTCATTCCACAGTGCATAACATGTTCCACAGATGGTATCTTATTTTTATGAGCTAGAACAGCTTTCCATAATGAAAGAGATGTGTTATTCTGTGTGTCTCATGACTAGATGTGGATGTTTACATAGCCATTCACTAGGTTTGCATTTTTATTACCTGTTGGACTACTGCATGTCTATAAAGCTTATTTGTTGTGAGGAAGCCAGACATGAAGATACACACATATCCTCTATAGTCAAGAAAAAGTAATTTTCTCAGATGGCACCTGCCATACTTTGTAAATGCAGAACAGTAGTGGCACAAGGGAGAAGCATATCAATGCCATACAATATACTCCTTTGTGTCGCAGCCACTAGGCTGTTGGATCTTAACAGTGCTTCTAGGGATACTGGGTATGTATCTACCGTTTTTCTACTATTTGGGGAATTTCTTACATTATGCAGATCCCATTCAGTCTAGACAGCATCTGTATGCAGAAAAATCTTATGGGATTCAGTAGAACCTCAGGCTTGCATGTTATTCATGCTTTGAACACAAGTAACTTGCATGGTACACGGAGAGTGGGATGCATTAATAAAGCTGATATGCTATTCCTTGCTGTGTTTGTTTGTTTTTTTAAATCATGCATTGCCTATGGCCAGGAGATGGAATTTCACCCATACTTAGCTGAACTGTGCCCACAAAGACTAACATTACACAAGTTTATTCTAATTTATAATAGATGAACAAGAAATTGGTAAGTTAGCATTCAGGTAGATATGCTTGCATCTGCAACAATATCCTTTTGGATATTGGATTTTATGCATCAAAATACAAAGGAATTATACCCTATATGCTTGTTTTCATTCCGCTTCCTACTTTTCAGATCAAAGTTCCAGGATATCCAAAGGTACACATCATTCAGTATGAAAGAAGAAAATATATGCCTGTGTCTAATTTCTACTCAAGGATATGTCTAGCCATGGCTATTATGGTTCAGACAACACCATAACTCGTACTCAAGAGCTGAGTATGTGTTCAGTGTATTTTGTCACTGAACCATGAGTTGTTGAAATATGGTTATTCTGTTGTCTGAATCCAGCTGAGATAACAAACTACGCCAAACAGCCCCAATTCACAGTGCAGCAAGAAACTATAGGTTTTCTTCATGGGTTGTTCATGGTTAAACTATATTATATTAGTGATGGTGGCTTCAGACAAGCACACTCCACCCATATTCAGCCCTTCAAGCATGGGTATCATGTTGTCTGAATCCAGTCATGGAGCTCCAGTATGCTTTTGTATGGCAGTTGCTAAGGAACATGAGAGGAAAGGTTACACTCATGCAGGCTTCCTAGAAGCATCGGGTTGGTTACTCTGAGAACAGAATGTTGAGTTAAGTAGGGTTTTGGTCAGATCCAGCATGGCTCTTTTTATGTATTCTGTATAAGAACTAGAACACTAAGTGAATGACAGTAAGATATATGTCACAACCATACATATTTGGATATTACAGATAAGGTCAGAGTGTGCCAAGAATACAATCCAGTGGACAATAGGTGCTTTCATGTGTCTGCATGAAAACACCAGAGTGACCTAGGTCTAACTAGCTCAGATTGTAATAAGATACGCAGCTGACTAGATGAATGAAAACAGCGCAAGTAAAAATTATAGTTTGCTTCTGTAGCTCCTTCCTTGAATATTTCTGCCTGAAGTTGTGTTTTGTGTATGTGTGGCGGGGGAGGGGGTGAAAGTTTTGTTTAGTGTATGTGTGGTGGGGAGGGGGGTGAAAGTGAACACCCTTCTCTCTCCTCTACAGACATGCTTTGTTACACAAGGGGTGTCTTTAGGGGATGGGTCCTTTAAAGATACAGGGGAGATAGAAGAGAAATAGACAAACAAGAGGCAGGAAGGCAGAGAGATTTGAACAAATTTGTGTGTTTTCTTTTGTCCTGTGAGTCTGAGTCCCAGATCTTTACAGTTCTGAGCACTATATCTGCTTGATAGTTTCTGTCTCTAGTTTACACAAACAGGTGTCTTTAGTAAACAAGAAGTTGTTGTTTGCTCCCCTGGTTATAGAAATTTACCCTTCATTTTATTTATTTTATTTATTTAAAATATTTATATGCCGCCCTCATCGCAACAAAGCCTCGGGGTGGCTCACCTATCAATCTAACATCCAGGGGTTAGGAACTGTCCCTTGAAGTAATGTACCCCTGCAGGGTAGTCACACAAGCCACATACCAGGGAGGGTCAGGATCACTACTAAAAATGGATAGAACTGGAAACAAAAGAGAAGTGTTGAGACACCCCAAAGAGTCTATGACTGGTCCAAAGTCAGCCAAGTCAGCCAATGTGTTTTATGGCCTAGTGGGGACTAAAACCCAGATCTCCCAGGTCTCCAGCAGTCCTACTGGTTGGATAAAGTTTGGCATATCCCACTCTTAGCAATAAGAAATCACTGATTTGGGTAGGATTGCTAAAAAACCATTTAGTCGAGCTGCAATCTCATAACATAATTTTCTCTGAATGTTACAATTTGGATGAAACCAAGGTGTATAGGAAGAGGAGCCATATGTCACACTCACTCTTCCTGTTTTGTCTAGACAATGTCTGCAGTAGCCTTAAGAAATGCATCAAATCAGTTGCACATTTCTGGTCCAAGATCCATTAACTAATGTTTCCTGGTGATCAGCTGGCTATATTCAGTATAAGACTTTTCCTTGTTGTTCCCCAGCTGCTTCATAGCATTCAAAGGTGGCCAAGAGAATGTTAAATGCCAGGCTTTCTACATATTGTTAAATCTGAATGTTGATGACCTACTTTATCATATGGTAGCAAGTTGCAAGTTGCAAATTCTGCTTTGCACAGAAACAGAAACATTACACCAGATCTATATTATTTTGGGAGTCAGTTGTTCACATGAAAGCAGGAGACCATGGAGGGAGCAACTGAAACAGAAAATTTCCCATTTCTACAAGTTGGTTTCTGTTATTGTTCTGTTGGTTAAAGGCCAATTCTAGTATTACATTCCCCTAGTTAGTACACTGAAAACAGAAGAAAACAGTCACACATTGGCTGCAAATCCACATCTTCATGATGCTGGAAGGATCAGACATAAGCATTACACTCCACTCCTATCCTGAAAGCTTCTGGGACCTTCTCCACATTCTGTTCATTTTCATCTTACCATACTTATACTAAAGGCATCTGCATTCTGAGTTTCCTCAGAAAGCTCCCAAAGAATGCTCAAAATGACCAAGCCAAGAATTGTGTCTTGGGGTATCTCTACACAGTGCATTGTCATGCACTCATCCTTGCCTACTCATGGTTGTTTACAGGTTCTTTGGACAATGATGTGAGTCACCAGTTTTGCTTCTGTGTCTAAAAAGCACTTTCAGAAAGTTTTTTGGGTGCAGGGAAAATGTAGCATTTATTTATTTATTTAAAACATTTCTATGCCGCCCCATTTGCCGAAGCCTCGGGGCAGCTCACAACATAAATTAAAATATAATACATTAAAAATATAAAACAAATTAACAATATAAAATAAGTTGCCCTGGCCAGATAAAATAAGCAAATAATATTAACAATTAAAATGACGTTTAAATAAAAAGGTCTTCGCCTGGTGCCGAAAAACAAATAACGATGGCGCCAGGCGGACCTCTCTTGGGAGCGCATTCCATAGATTGGGCGCATTTAATTAGGAAAGTGAAAGAAAGCATGATTTCCTTTTGGGCATTTACATTATTCCACTATATCACAGCACCACATAGAGGTTAGGTAACAGAAAAGTCAAAAAGGATATACTCTTAATGCTCAAATCTCAATTCTGTGATGAAACCAAAAGTAGATAGAACAGATTAGCAGTCAGTTAGCACCCTTGTGTAGAAAAACATTTTTTAAAAATAAAATGAAATGACTTTCCATGCAGTGGCCTAGCCAGAAGTATGGACTCTGAACGAAGCAATTCCTCACACAAATCGTGGTTTGGCCCTGACCTTAGTAAACAGCCTTAGGCAAGGCAATAAGCCTCACTACTCATCTTTGTAATATGGAGATTCATTTGTTCATTATGTTTTGGTGTAGGAGCCTTACAGGATACTTGTAAAGATTACTGAGTGAGGTTACTTACTGAGCCTGTGTAATATACTTTGTTGTGCAATACACTTTGCTGTTGTTGATGGTCATCATCATCATCATCATCATCATCATTTTATGTTAGAAGTTTCCTGGTCTAATATCCTACAACAAACAGTAAACCATGGGAAAGCAAACCTGATTTGGACTTTAAGAGGATTTGAACTGAGTGCCCATCATTGATGACCTCACAATCACGGGACACAGCATAGTTGGGTGATAAAGATACTTCCAGCAGCAAGGGGTCATATTTGGCTTCTCGTGAATTCAAGTTAATAGGAGACTGGTATTCTCCATTTGCATCAGGAAAGATTAGTCCCCACTCAACTCCTGAAAAAAATTCAATAGACTAACATGAAATATTAGAATAGTTCCATATATCTTACAATCATGAGCTAGAAGTGACATAAAAGATATTTAGTCTGCCTCCTTGCAATGCTACAAGTTTCTCAAAACTCTTTAAAACTTTTCTCAAACCACTCTCACTCTTCTAAGATGTCCCAGGCATAGAACTAGCTATATGAAATGCATTGTTGCACCAATGGGGATTTTTTTCTCCCTATGTAAAATGCAGCAGCAATATTTATTAGGTCTTCAGCCTGAGAGAGAAGGGCTTAGTTCCCCTCCCCTTCCCTCCCCTCCCCTGCTGCAATCCCAATAATCATCAACAAAGGTAATCTAGCACCTGCCATTTCTGAAAACAAGCATGTCAGGTGCAAAGGCACATGTAACATCGCATCTAGTTTGGGTCAGGTTGTCCATGCCAGGGATTTCATTAGGGAAAGGAATATATTTGATCAAAGAACTGCTTTTTTTAAGATCTTCCATTCTGGAAGCAGAAACATGTCATACATTTCTAAGGCATGATTCTGGAATTGTGTATGTGCGTGCAGAGAGAGAGAGAGAGCACGCGCGCAATCCTATACACACTTAACTTTGAGTAAGTCCCCTTGAACTCTAGGGGACGTACTTCCCAGGAGAGTTGCAAAGGATTACACTGTAAGAGAAACTGCTTAGTCTGTATCAGAACCAACTGAAACATCATGGAACAGTGAGCTAGCTTTTAAGTTAAATCTTTGGACTGAGAAAAGGATTAGATCATGTTTATGCCTAACGTCTTGATTTCACCTAGTACAATCTAAACTTATTAACTGTAATGTGTTTGAAGCATCAGTTAAAGATCCCTCCCTTTATCCTTTCCTAATTGTTTGTTAATTATGTTGTTCTAAGTGTTTAATACTTTATACATGTTTTATATAGCTACTCCTGTTTGTTAATATTTTAATATATTTTTATTTTTCTTTGTAAATTGCCAAGAGATATTTTAGATACATTTAGCAACACCTAAAACTATTAATTAACCAATCAATCAGTTAAGATAACATGCCATCTTCTTCACTCCATTTCTGGTCAACATCCAGGCTGAAGAAAAAGAACTCTGGTATACTTGATTGCTTGCACACTGCTTCATGAGATTACAAGTTGGCCCCAATAAAGGTACCATCCAACTGTTCCGTATTGGATTTGTTCCTCCTTAATTGTAATGCATTTTGTTTGTTTTCTTTGCTGTCTTCTCAAGTTCACTGTGCACATGTAATTTCCCCAACAACTGTGACTTTGTGCTTCTTTGCAGCAATGCTGTTATCTTAAACACCCTGGATTGGATACAACACTAACTTTCATGTGCCATTGATTTCACTGGCAAGTCTCATTAAATCTAGATTCAACCAAGCTTAGACCAAGCTGTATACATTATTCAGTACAGCTTGGATTATCAAGAGATTTAAAAGCCTTTTGATATGTTGCGCCTGTGTTCACTAAACAGTGAAAAGCAATAAAAGCAATCCATCTTTTTGTGTACATTCAGTAGTGCTGTCAGAGCTACAGTGTTTGAGTTCCAAACACAGCTAGGGAATGTGGAACTTACTTGTGAAAACGCCACTGCTTTCCATTGCATCTCTTGTATTTGAAAGAGAGGAGCATACTACGTAAACCCTTCATTAGCTTAAAGGCTGTGTCCATGTGAGTGTTGACCTAAATATCAATCACTCACTTTTAGATTCAGGTGACTCAGCTTCTTTAACTTTTTTTTCTAAGCATTTGGCTTCTAAATATGAAATGTGTATATGCTGAAACGCCACCTGATACCTGGGTAGCTCCACCAAAACGCATGGATACGAGTAAATGTGTACTTGCAAATGGAAGCAGAGCTTTTGGTCTCACGCACAGTGAAAACGGTTCCCTTTCACCCCCGCCCCAGCATCGCACGCCCTCTCACCCCAGTCGTCTTACCTTCCTCATAGCCCCATTCCACAGTCTCTGCTTTCTCAGCAAAGCGCTCTGATTCCACGATGTAGCCGTCAGCCATAGGCAGGCGCTCCTCTGCACCCTGCTCGCTCCGGCTCTCTCCGGGAGACTGGCTTGCGGAAGTCTGCGCTCCTCGGATGGGCGTGTGCGCGCGTGTGAGCTGGAGCCTTACTTCGCAGGACCGCTCGTCTGGAGCTCTTGCGTGACAAACAATACCAGAGCCAGGCGGCTTGGGTAGTTGGCGCGATCTTGCCACTTAGGCGTTTTTGTATAAAAAGCTGAGCTGGGATGTTATCAATAGTCGGTGGGCGGGGGGAGCGTTTGCCCAGAGAGAAAGGAATGGAGAAAAGAGCACTGAAGACTGGCAAATTATTTGGGCAGAAGACAGAAGTTCCAGGAACCAGTGACGCGAGCGGGATCTGTAGTCCTTCAGATCTTATAAAAAGGGGATAAATGTTAAGCACACTCTTTGCTTGGCTAGCTGTGTCCAGGCTATGATGACCTTGTGGCAGGAAATGTCCCTTAGAAATGGTATTAAGAGGCAGGCAATTAAAGCTCAAGCCCTAAATCTTTCACTTGGAGCCCCAGGTGTCCAGGAGAGCATCTACATACCACTTTGCTGTCCATGGGCACTTGCTGAAATAAATATTCAGGGGCATTGAAGATCTCTGTTGTATATGATCCTTCTGGATTAGCTCTCTATCAACATGTTCTTCAACTCCTGCTGCAACCCCTCATCCATTTTTCTGCCCCAGTATTTTTCCTCTCCCCTGTCCTTACAACCCTTTTGATGACTAGAAGTGTCCTTAGGAGCTAGGGTCATACACACACTTGTTCTAGGTACATGTAAATTAGCATAAAGAAATTCTTGCATTTTTTTTTATCCCATGGGCCAGTACGCTAGAACCTTTTGGTACCTAGTATGGTCCCTGCTGTCCCCTTACTGAATGCACCAGTTTGAAGAACGAACAAAATGAGATCTAAAATTAACAGTGGAAGGTGTATTGTAAAGCTTTTCATTTACATGGGAGAACAGGAAGAGTTTACTCTTACTCCTCTGGAGTGCCTGTTGGCATCCCCAAAAATTTTCCTTGGGTGAAACTCACTCATATTCTTTTAATCAAAGAAAGGCACATCTTTCAAGCCCCAGGGCAGCCTTTCCCAACTTGGTGCCTTCCATTTATGTTGGGGGTAGACAGAAGGTTGGTGTGTGATTTAATGCAAATCAAGTTTTCTGATTCTTAATGCTTTAACAATAGCTCCTAATGCTATCAGAAGGCATTGTAACGCTATTCTGCTTTTTCTTATTCCACAATTTTTCTGAAGTAATGAAAAAGAGAGAAGCAGTAGAGAAACTCAGAAGAGCAACAAGTAGAAGATGATGATGTCTGGAAACCCCATAAACTTTTTGCGAATGAAGCACGATAATTTCATGATCCAAGCCTTATCTGGAAACAACCAGCTTCCACTTTCCTGAGTCACTATTTTGTGCTTAGCTCCAGGTTGTTTGGGTTTTAGTTTAATTTTTACTACTTTTTGTTACATTTCTAGATATAACCAAACTTTCACACATGAAATATATAAATAACATTAATATAAACAAGACATGGTCTGAAGTTTGTACTGAAAAACAAACCATCATATATCCAGCAAACCTTAAGCTTTATTACAAACCTCCTTTATTACAAACTATGAAGCATCATCCTTCCTAATTGTTACAGTTTATATTGACATCTTTGAGTCATGGATGCATTTTCTGGTGTTGTTCCAGATTTCATAGTCATGCTCTGGTGCTTGCAGACAAGCAGCTTCCTTGGCAAAGGTTACAATTAGAGTTCCCTACAGATTTCTGCATGGAGAATTTTGGCACAGTGAAACTTCTGTACTGGAAATAGACCTGATAATACAAATCCAATGTCTATCATCCTCCCCAGGCCTCTCTCCTTGCTCTGGCAGAATTTAAGGCAATTACCAAGCTAGCACCTGATGCCGTTACACACACCACAAACATAAAGAAGTACTGTGGCATAGCTGTTTCATAGAAATGATGCATGGTGCCCTGAGCTGCTTTAAACATTTTCCTTTACGTGTATCCTGGCTGTGAAAATTATGGACACATGCTGCGTATATCTTAAGATATCTTTCAATAGATTGCTTGTACAGCAGCTCTGGAAGTTGGTCAGAAATGTAAGTTCAAAGTGAGAGCTAGAGAGAAGAGAGAATGTTACTTCCTACTTCCTACATTTTTACAGATAAGGTGCAAAGAAGATGTGGAGTACCCCAAATCACGGACATCTTTTTGCAGGACCTTTGTTCTTTGCTCTTTGACCAAAAAATACAGTGCTGAATGGTGACAGTGTGCTGAAGCTTATGTTACCTTTTTGGAACCAAGCAGGCATTCCTTTTCCCAGTGGCTTTAAGCAAGCTAGCACCCAAGTATGGTTTTGCATGGACATAAGGGCATTGGGACTTGGAAGAGGTTCTGTTTTCATACAAATGTGTGTCTTATATTGTAGGAACTCTTCATAAAGAACAATTCAAGGCTGTCCCTTGGCTGTGGCAGAGCACAGGGGAAAATGTGATGTAGGTTTCCCGCACATAGGAAGGGTTACTCCTATGTTATGCACTCATCGACATAGCAGAGCTCTATCACTTAAGAAAATAAGAGAAAAACAAGGAAAAACCATTATGGAAGATAGTAACCCAGAATGAAGAAATGTCACAGGAAGAGCAATGCTTAACCATTTATCTGCTCACCATTTTCTTGGTCCATATTGTTTCCACAAATTGCTTCATGTTTCAACATGTTTCAGATATGTGATTGTTTTGGATATTGAGAGGGAGAATGGAGATTTTGAGGAGAGAGAAAAACTGATTTGTTCTCAATCATTTCCTCCCAAAACTGCTTTTCTAAAGTGTGTGGGGGGGGGGGGGGGGCGGAAGCATACCGTATACCCTAAGCCACCCTCACTTGACAGTGGGCACCAAGAGCAGAATGGACATGCATCTCACCAGACACAAAGGATACATTCTTGGGATTTTTGGATAGGTTTCCCTAATATATAGTGACTAAAAGTCACAAGTAGTGATTGAAAGTGCAGATGAAGCTTCATCCTGCAATTGCCCAATTTTACCTGTGTGTCCAAATGTTATCATCTTTCATTTCTAACTCTCCCTTATTGTCTGTCATTTCCTTCATCTTTTTATTTTTGCATAATAAAAAACATTAAGGGGGAAAACAGGGAATAGTTGCACAATGTCAACTGGTAGCACTAGAAACCCCTCCACCTAGAATCACTCAGGGTTCCATGTTTAACAGTATGGCCCTACACCAAAGCTGAAATGACAACAAGTTCCTTTTGGCAAGATGCATGAAGGAAGTTAAGACTGTTTCTAAAATATTTAGCAAAAATATAGATAAAAAGGAAACAACCTGTAGAAGAGGGCAAGTGGGAATAAAATGAAAGGTATGAAGTGGAAAAACTCTTACAAATGCAAGGGTTTTTTGGTAGGAAGGAAACAAGACAAGAAATGCAGAGGGAGCCTGACTGCAGTAGAGGAACAGAATGGGATTTTCAGAACAAAAGGTCAGTCATGAGTTACTGAATAATCATTTGCCTAAACTTAATCAAGATGAAAGCTAGATGAGATTCCTAAAAGAATTAGGGAGACTAATCAGGTCATGTCCAGACTCTCCTGGCTTCGGTTGGTCTTTCTACTGATTACTGTAGAGTCAGGGATTAGATAGTACCTAAGGAGAAACTGCAATTATTGATTACTCTGCAAGAATCTAGAGAACCAAGTGTGATATTGACGGGCTAGAGTAGAAGACCATATAAAATGAGTGCCTTTTTTTTTTTTTAAGAATCTGGAAGACTGTGAACACTTGCTTCCTTGCCTGGCTCCTGCTCTTACTAAAGTTACATAACAACCATTAGGATTTGGGGGAAAAATAGAGAGAAGGCACTTGTTAAATAAAATTCCTTCGTTATATTCATGGAAACAAAAGTGGTACGTGGATGGACACACAGAAGTAACTGACTGTTGGTTAGGACATGAGCTAGATTCACCTCAACTGAGGATGCATCATGGCTCATCTTCTTTCCACATTTTGAGTAACTGATGGCAATCTGAATGTCACCACATTTAGATCAGAGTGATGTCTGCTGCTTCATTTGTTACTTGGGAGCATAGAAATAAGATCCATTTCACAGTATTGCAAAAAGTTTCTCTGGCCCAGCAAGCTGAAATGAAACTTCTCTCTTGCTGCCTTATCAGATGTGATGAGCTGCAACAAAACAAAGTGCTTTGGTTAAAATTTAAAATGTTTTGAGTCTCCTCCTTGTGACTTTACAGAAGGAGATGGAAAGGGAAAGCAGGCCAGTGCTTGTAATGCTAAACTGTAGGCAGGCATTCAGTCTGAATGAGGTCGTATTATATTATATATATCAAGGCGGGGAATAGCAGAAGGGGCCACATTGGACTTCACAGAACCCTATGGAAGCTGCCCCAACTAGAAGTGTCTGTGTTGCAACCTGAACAGCTGCATCCCAAGTGACTGAGTTGGGAAACAAGGTGCATCTTGTTTTTCATCAGAATTGCTGGGAGCCTGGCTATGCAGCTCCAATGGTGGCAGCACCACAAAGGTGGAGGCAGCAAAACACCTCCCAGCGGACTGTATGTAGTCCATGGGCTGCATGTTGCTGACCCCGGTTTTATTTTTATTTATTTATTTAAAACATTTCTATGCTGCCCCCATCGCAACAAAGCCTCGGGGCAGCTCACAAAAAATACATAAAAACATGCATAAATAATAATATAATAATATAATAATTTAAAAGAAAAAAAAACATTTAAAAATGTTGTAGAAGAAAAGGGGGCACCTGCTTCAGCAGAGGTCAAAAAGGCTGAACGGAAAGCAGTAGCTTGCTATTTTGGTAGACAAGAGGCAGAATAGACTAAAGTTGGGTTGTTGTTCCACTTTTCTATACTCCAGGAAACAATTCTGGGACATAGTATGGATTCTAAACAATTTTTTAGTATGAACTATTACTAAAACTGTTAAAAATCTGAAAAAATGTCTGTATTTTAGCTGGTTACCTCTATAAACTCTAAGACACAATATAAATGTAAGGGCTGTTATTAACATTTAAGTGTTCATGCTTTAGTTTGTGACCTGCTTTTGTTTAGAACAGGAGAAATCACTATAGGTTCTTTTTATTTGCATGTATGATAAAATGCCATATTTTCCATACAGTAATTTATTCAAGAGTTTATAAGCATTATAAGAAAAATGAGCAGAGCTTCATCGTGACTGTAAACTGCCCTGTTGATGTGCCTGAAATAAAATACCATTTTGGAGGGTACTGCAGGAACACCTGTTGGGGTGGGGGGAGAGGGAGAGAGAGGTGGCAAGTATATTACACCTCTAAAAGCTCACGGTAACTGAATTTACCTGATGTATAAGAACACCTGTATTCTGCCTCTTGAGTTTTCAGCTGCATTCTGAGCCACTGATAAGTTGAAATTAATGTGTAAACTGGGTGGTTTGTAGGTGGGAAGACAGATTGGTGGCAAAACCCCATTAGAAATGAGTCTCTCTCAGATGTTTAGGAGGCTGTTTACACTAATTTGCTGCATGTTCCTAAGTGATGTGACCCACCACTAGAAATGTGATGCAGGTAGAAGCAAGTTTAAAGAGACCTCTAGGCGAATTATTATTTGCAACTACTTTCCATACATGCACACAACTGTGTTCTTGGTTAAGGGTTAGTTTTTTGAATGGGCAGTGGTGTGGAGATTGTTTTGTTTTGAGA